ATTTTCGGTAGACGACGATTTTGACAGATCCCTCCACGCTCGCAAAACAGGTGTTTTCGGGACCTAAGCTTCGCAAGACAGCGATTTAAACAGCTGATTGGCGGTTCGCAAAGTGGCTTTCCTATGGCCAATCTTCGCTAGACAACGACGATTCTTCCCCATTGGAACGCATTAAACAGGTTTCAATGTATTCTAATGGGGAAATGCTTTTCGCTAGACAATGATTTTGCTAAACAGCGATTTCAGTGGAACGGATTATCATCGTCTAACGAGGCACCACTGTATCCTGCAAGCTGTTCTTCCCCCACTGATAGTAAAGATATAATATTACCAAAATAAACAACAAACAACTTTCTGCCCTTTTATAACACCCCAAATTTGCTACCTGAGGTTGCTGCTTCATTCTTCCTAATAGAGGGTTTGGCAATTTTGATCCTACAGAGGTTGTAGATTGCAGGCTCTCATAATCCCTCAGTAGTCATTATGTTGTACTTTTCATAGAGGAAGTTTAGGGGGAGCACAACATGAACCAAGCACTCATTCTTGCAACTAGAAAAATCAGCCAAGACAGTATCTCATTGGTATGCAGAAAGTTTGCTTCCCCTGGCCTTTTTCCAGGGAACATCATTCTACCTTACAACGTGAAAGGTCTGGACTGTAATCCAGGAGGCAGAGGAGAAGGTGAAACTCTGAAGCCAGGATGTCCTTAATTTACTCCAAAAGATCAATTCATCACTTCTTTCTTAATCAGAGTGAAATGAACATTTCAAAGGTGCAGGCGTCACATAAAGCATTTAAGGAGTATTGTGAACTGCAAGATTCCCTGCTTCCTGGTTCTCCCTTCTGGGAAAAAAAAATCAAACCACTTGCATATGTAGAGGACATTAAGAAAGAAAGAAAAAAGCCTGAATTTATATCCAAGATGGTGGGGATGGGTGGGTTAACAGCATTTCCACTCCCTCCCTCCATCTGAAGCTGCAGAAACTACCATTTGATCCAGCACAGCTGATTGCCTGCTTGCATGTAAGAATACATTCATGGTGGAGATGTGGCAGTATATGGGAACTCTCCCCTCCTATGTCTCCCTCACGTGGACATTGGCTAGATCTTTGAGGATGAAGGTGGACTTTGCAAGCTCCTGTAATAAGGCACAGGAGATCTGAATGTAAAATGTTCAGTCAAATGTATTTATATTTGTAAAGCTCTAAATGGTTTGAATCCAATCTATATCAAGGACTACACCTCCCTTTATGAGGCTGCTCGAGTGTTAGGATTATCAGGAGAAGCTTTTCTCTTGGTGCCACCATCCTCCCAGCTGAGTTCGATAGGGATACAGGAGAGGACCTCTCTAATGCTGCTTCCAGACTTTGGAACTCCCTCCCACAGGAGGCCAGCCTGGCCCCATCTTTGTTGTCCTTCTGCAAGTAGGCAAAGACCTTTCTCTTATGGCAAGCTTTCCTTCAGTGAATGGCTGTCAAGTGGAGTTCCTCTCTATTCAGCACTGCTTAGGCCTCACCTTGAGTACTGTGTCCAGTTCTGGACACCACACTTCAAGAAAGATGCTGACAAATTGGGATAAGTGTAGAGAAGAACAACAAGGGTGATCAGGAGGCTGGGAACCAAGCCCTGTGAGGAAAGACTGAAAGAACTGGGCATGTTTAGCCTTGAGAAAAGAAGACAGGATAGCACTTTTCAAATATTTGAAAGGCTGTCATAGAGTGGAGGGGCAGGATCTGTTCTCGATCATCCCTGAGTGCAGGACATATAATAATGGGCTCAAGTTACAGGAAGCCAGATTTTGGTTGAATATCAGGAAAAACTTCCTAACTGTTAGAGCAGTACAACAGTGGAACCAATCAAGAGATGGTGAATACTCCAACACTGGAGGCACTCAAGAAAACTGGTTGTTGTGGGTTTTTCAGGCACTCAAGAAAAACGTAGACAACCATTTGGCAGATATCTTTTGATTTGCATTCTGAAGCGAGCAGGGGGTTGGACTTGATTGCCTTATGAGCCCCTTCCAACTTCACTATTCTATGATTCTACAAATACTTTCTCAAGTAGAAACCTGCAGTTGAATCTGAATGGGGATTGATAACTTCCGAATTCCTGAATAAGGGAAAGCAGAAAGCTTTTTTTTTTTTAAAGCCTGGCAATACATCAACCTGGAACCTCTCTCAATGAATCATGCCCATGGTGCCCTACACATGAAAAATCAATCTTAACCAACGAGCTCAAGAAAAAGACAAGATAGAATTGAATAAACAAGCAAGGAAACAAAGAAACATGCCACGCCGGCGATGCCCTGGAACAGTTTTCTAAACAGTACTGCATAGACTGTTATGTGCCATCAAATCGGAACCAATTTCTAACAACCCTAACAGGGCTTTCAAGATAAATTAGATATATTTAAGGATTATTTCTTTCCAGTTCCAGTCCCCCAGTGAGTTTCCACAGCCAAGTGGGCATTCGAACCCTGACTGTGTTCTAGTGTGCCAATTTATCCACTACGCCACACTGGGTACCCCTGCGTATGCTGTATCTTATTTAAAAGGACATTTTCTGGTGTCGGCATTAAAAAGATTTGATCTTCTCTGCATATCCTGCTCCAGTTGAGGATATCAGCCCCACTGAAGAATCCACCTTGCCTGTTTTAACATTTTTCAAAAATCACATCAGAAGAACGATCGGGGAATAAGAAGAGAGAAAGAGCAGCGCCCGATAGGCTTTGCGTGTAAAGCCTCATATTGTTATTGTTCCCCGTGCAGCAGCTTTATCTTTCAGCAAGCAGGAGAAAGTGGCTGTCTGCCTTTATGGCAATATTCACCAGGAGGGCATTTCAAGGGCAAGTCTTATGAAACCAACCACGGGGGCCCTTATTTTTCATTCAGGTCCATTCCCAACACTCATTGCTAGCAAGTAAATCATGACAGGCGTCTTTTCCGAAGCTCTTCCAATTGGTGCCTTTCAAAGTCAGCCGAAACCTTTGCAGCCAATGGGAAAACAGCTCCCATCTGTATGCATCCAAAACACACACACACACACACACACACACACACACACACACACACACACACACAGACAGAGACCTAAAACCATGAAAGCATATGCTACACTTAAAGCCGTTTTAAAGGCTGTTCATGTCTCTGTGTCTTAGCGGACATATCTGATTTGTTTACAGAGAGGCTTAAGAACCTTACTCATGTCAGGAAGCTGACGCAACCAGCTTGTCTGGAAGCCTGTTACCAATGTGAGCAATATTCCTGTCCTTCTCTGTAGCCTAATTCAGTTTGATTTCATCTCCACCACTATACACACGGTGTCTATATTTCTGACCCTCAGTATTGCATTCCATTCATCTAAGAAAATGGATTATAATCCATGAATGTTCATGCTAGAACAAATGTGTTAGTCACAAGGTACCACAAGATTAATTAGAGGTGGACTTTTCATATATTTTTTTAAAAAGTAACACTGAATGTCAGACCAAGAAAAGGCCCTTCCAGGTGTTTGATATAATTTACAGCTGGTGTATGGAAGTGGGAGCTGGACCATAAAGAAGGCTGACCGCCAAATAATTGATGCTTTTGAATTGTGGTGCTGGAGGAGGCTCTTGAGACTCCCCTGGACTGCAAGGAGAACAAACCTATCCATTCTGAAGGAAATCAACCCTGAGTGCTCACTGGAAGGACAGATCCTGGAGCTGAGGCTCCAATCCCTTGGCCATCTCATGAGAAGAGAAGACTCCCTGGAAAAGACCCTGAAGTTGGGAAACAGTGAAGGCAAGAGGAGAAGGGGACAACAGAGGACGAGATGGTTGGACAGTGTCATAGAAGTGACCAACATGACTTTGATCCAACTCCGGGAGGCAGTGGAAGACAGGAGGGCCTGGCGTGCTCTGGTCCATGGGGGTCACGAAGAGTCGGACACAACTTAATGACTAAACAACAACATCTGCTATTGTGCATCCATGAGAGAAAAACAGCTCCATTTTTTAGTTCCAAGACAGAGAAAGTGATTGGACAGGCTTCATATTTCAGGTACAGCAAAACACTGGTGGTCTCCCTGCCTATTATGCTCCATACACAGTGCCTATCAGGAAACTACCACATCCACCATGCTTTGCAGTACCACTGAGTTTAGCCCCACCCAGCCAGTTCCTCTGATTCAGAATTCAGACAAGCGGTGACTTTTTTTTCTTATTTATTGACCAGTCATGTCAAGCGCCTATGAGGGCAAGCACCTGTGAAAATTTTAAATGAGGCAATTTTAGCAGATTTAGAATCATGGAAGCATAGATTAATGGAGTTGGCCATCGAGTCAAACCCCCTGTTCAGTGCAGGAATCCAACTCAAAGCAGATCTGACAGATGTGTGTCCAAGTTTCTCTTGAATATTTCCAGCCTTGCCAAGCTCCCCACCTCTCCAGGTCAATGGTTCCATTGTCGTACTGCTCTAACAATTAAGAACTTTTTCCTGATATTCAACCGAAATCTGGCTTCCTGTAGCTTGAGCCCATTGTGACATGTCTTGCACTCTGAACCAATCAAGAACAAATCCTGGGCACTGTAGCTTGAAAAACATGAAAACGCCATCTCTAAGACTCATTTTTGTCTTTTTCTGTTATGCCACTACAGGTGGATTACACAGAACGCTTCCCATGTGTTTTGCCATAACAGCAAAACATCATACATCTCAGTAGACTGCAAATGAAACTCACACTTACCTTTGGAGAATTACCTGACAGCTAAAGTCTCAAAAAAGCATTTAAATGCAATGTGTAAAAAGCAGGGAAATATATATACTTTTTTCAAACTTGTTTGTCGTGTGTGAAAGCACAGAAAGAGCAAAAACATGAAACACTATCATTTCGTTATTCTCCAGAGCTTTATAATTGAGCCAGGTACTTCCTTAGTCAGCCCATAGCTTTTCTAAGCGCAGACCATTGGGTTTTATCAGATTGTACTGCAGGTCGGACTGGCAAGAGTGTGGCACACCTACCCGTCAGGTCATCATTGGGCCATGAACCCAGGTCACAGGCTTTGCATGTATATTCGTCAGAAACAAATTCGTTTTCCTTGCACCGGGTACAAGTCCAGCAGCAACTCACTTCCCCTTTGCGGATAACCTAAAGAGAAGAGGTGACAACATTTAACTTGCGGGGTAAATAATTTGCTTCATTCTGCTCCCTCTTTCTTTCTTCGTTTTAAAAATCTATCCCTATTTTGTACACTGCCATCCTGTTCCGAGAACACTCCTTTGGAACTGGACTGAGGTCTTCAAAGCCTTTTAAGAACTGTGTGAAACTCCCTTTTGCATCCTCGTTTTTGCAATAATCATCACAGGTAGTGTGTGTCATAGAGCCAGCCATTGCAGGGCTAAAGTCCCAGGACTTTTGGAGTAGAAGGAACCAGGACATCATCTGCCATTTCCCCAAGTCTTCCCTGTTTCCTATGGACTTAGATGCAATTCTTTGGATCAATATACTGTTCTAATGCAATCTAATTGAGGTGGTGTGGTCTTGAGTAGGAGATTAAGAATCATTAGCTTTACAAAAGACCTGCTCCTCCTTTCTTGATATAGCCACCTAATCCAGCTGCCTGCATCTTATGGGAGTTGGCTGGGGGAGGGTGGTCATTACAAGCACCTGCACTTTTAAATTTACTACTACACCCACTGGTACCTATGGGAGAATACGAGGATGGTGGGATACAATAGCCCCTGCTCAGATATCATCATTAGCCATCAATGCACAAGAACTTGACTTACATCTGAGTGCATTGTGACATTTGGAAGCCAGATCATGCACTCATGTCCCCAGTTTGAGCTCTATGTACAAATAGAAGAACCCTCAAATAAAGTTACTATCAGACCATTCATCCATCTGTCACCGACAATAACTGCCATCTCAGACACTATCTTTTCCTAGCCATAAATGGAGATGTTGTGGATTGAATTTGGATGCTTTACATGTAAACCATGCACATTATCTGTAAGATCAAGCCATATCCCAATGTATCTAATAGCCACAGAAGTGGGCGCCCAACAGTAATGAAGTGAAACAGTATTATCAGAACTTAAAAGTAACTAACTAGAAATGACTAATTTCTTGTAATTAATTAATTCCTTTTTCTAATAAAGAAGGCATAATTACTTTACACTGCAGCCACAATTTAGCAAGCGATACCATCATCCTGTTTGCAATCTCTCAGATTTTAGTTACTCAGGGTTTGTAGGTTCTTCACTTTAGTTACTCAGGGTTTGTAGGTCTGAAGAAGAATATTGAACCATTTAAGAGGAGGCTGTTAATCCTGTGCCTTTTAACTCTTCTCTTGAGTTCTGGTACGGTGCCAAAATGACACTAAGGTGGACTGAAGCACCATGCTTTCTGGACCAAGATCCAGCGATATACAAAATTCAGATTCCTCCCCCAAGTGAACAAAATAGTTTATCCTTGCAAAGGAAACTATTTAGTTATTCTTGAACGGGAAATTGAAGACATCACTCTTGAAAACCAGTAACGATAATGATCACTAACTACTTTGGGCCTCATGGTATTATAGCTGTAACTAATTATTTGTTAAAAAATAACTTGCCAAGCTCTGGAGATAACGGGTACTGGTAATCAAGTGACAGGGAATCGGTGGAGGTGTTCATTGCGAAACCAACTCCAAAGGAAAATTTTTTACCTTGATTTCCCCTTTCTCGCACGGTTCGCTGCAAACAGATCGGATGAGGATGCTTTTCTTAGACCATATTTCATCATCATCCATTTTCAATTCACCATTGTCCCAACTCCCAACGTTGATATAGTCGTAGTAGTCCTTTCCCATTTCCTTAAAATTCATGATTTCATACCTTTCAGATGGAAAAAGACAAATCATTAGGTTGTGCTTAACACAGAAACAGAAGCCAATTCGGTTGCAGAAACGTTAAGTACACAGAGAGGTAGTAGACTGTGATCCGAAACTCCCCTACAAAACTGATCCCTGGAATGTAGCACAGAACCATCCCAAACTCTAAGAGAAAAGGGCCAGATGCAAATTTAACTATACAGCACGCTCTCTAAAATGAGTGGGGATCCTTTTTTTGAGCCATAGCTAACTTACAGTGCAATGCAAACTGAAAGATCAGTAGCTATAGTGGGTTTGGAATGAGACGTCTCTGATGTCAACACAACTGCTGTTGTGCTGGTTGATCTCAGGTCCACTGGGACACCTGCTTTTGGCAGCACAATTACTGCGCTGTACGAGATTGGCTGGAAAAAGAGCAAAAGAGGGATGGTGAAAGGGAGGTGCAGGGAAGGAACTGAGCAGTCCCAGATCCAAACTCCTCTTTGCCCAGATTTGAAGCCATCAAGGTGCTACATGGTGCGAGGCCAGGATTAAGACAGTCCTAATGTTGTGAGCCACTTGTTGGGAGAAATGCGGCATATAACTACAACAACTACTACTAATAATAATCATAATCATAATTATAATCAATCAATCAATCAATGGCTATATGGTTAGAGCATTCAAAGGGTGAGGAGCAGATCGAAATTTCCTGGCCAAAAATAAGTGTCTTGTGACTTCATAATTTTTATTTCTATTCTATTTCTTTTCTACCTTTCTCCCAATACTGAGATGCAAGGTGGCTCATAACATAATTAAGAAAAAAGATATAAATGAAAACAAAGTCAATTATAATACTGAAACATAATTAAACTAATCCTTATGTTAAAGCAACAAACTGATTAAAACAATTTGAAACCTTTTAAAAGCATATCAGGTTGGGGGGGGATAGAGAAGGTGCTTCCTCCTTCCATATCAGCCAGTTGGGAGTCTAATCACACATTACTGGGAATGTATATTTTTAAATCAGTAGAAATGTTTTCCTTCTAAGTATGTAGATCCTTCAAACCTCCATGTCTAAGCAATCAACCTGGAAATGAAGCCTATGCTTTTTTTCTCAATGACCAATCTGAAAACAAAAGGAAGCTCATTTTCAATATATGAAATGAAAGGTTGTGCTAGTTTTTTTTTAAAAAGTACTTTTCTTTTTAAAACAGCTCCACATCTAATGCCACACTGTTTCATTCCATTCTCTCTTTAGCTTCCAAAAGCCCGCCTGAATTAAAAAAAAGTTCTTGGCTTGCCCGTAGAAGGACAGCAGAGAAGAAGCTACATAAGCACCACTGAACAAGGTCCTTGGACCTTAGAAATATTAGCATTTGCACTACTGCTATAAAGTCACACTGTTAAATAAAATGACTTGGCTGATATTGAAATGCGGAGAGAAATTAAAAACAATAATTAGTTTGGTAATCAATTCATTAAACTGTCTAACAGTCCACATTAAAAAATGTTTAAAATGATTTTTTTAAAATCCCACTGCTCATCTGTGGGTGGAGGCCAATCACTTTCCTGTACCCTTAAAAGGGTGGTTTCATTCAGCCCTGATTACAAGGATACATTGGCACAGCTGAATGGTCTTGGCTAGGAGCCACCATGATTTCATCGCCTCCATGGATCTGCCAAATCCTTTTATGAGCTTCGGAGACCGCAGGCATTTAAAGGAGTTTATTAAAACTGTAATCTCGATGCACCAAATAATTGCTGGTGTAAGTGGCTGTTTCAAGGCCTGCTGCCTGCTAAGCACCTGCGCCACAAACTGAAATACAGTGGATTAAGCACTAGTAAGTTGCTCTTGGAAGCTTTCTCACTTCTCCATCTACCTCTCTGAAAATGAAGAGGTAGCTCAGTTAAAAACCTGGGTTCAAAGTAAGCGTTACAGTTAGCACAACATTAGACACATGTGTTTTGCCATAACAGCAAGACACAGAGCTAATTAAGAGGTGAAAGACGTTGGTTTATTCTACCGTGAGCTTTCCTCATCTCCTTCTGTTGCAAATTAGCTTGCTTTTATGTTACAATTGGTCGGTGAGAGGTATACACAGTGCCCATTTGCAAAGCTGAGGGCTCAGGTGTGATGTTTTCAAGGAGCTACCTGCAATTTCTGTGAAGCTGATGTGTCGTCCATTTGCAAAGCTGATGGCTCAGGTTTTCAAGGAACTACCTGCAATTTCTGTGAAGCTGATGTGTATGACTTGTTGGGCCCTTGGCATGAAGTCCTCTTTGTCCTTAACCACATATAGAATTGCCGCTTATGGGTTTGGTTACAATCTCCTCACTGCTTGTGAGAGGGGTTCTTCACATAACTCTTGTGCACACGGAAAGCTCCAAAGCTTCTCATGGGATGATCTATTTTAGGATGCATTAACAGAAGTATAGTCTCCCAGTCTTGTGAGGTACTACTTCCCCTCTATTCAGTGCTGGTTAAGCCTCATCTAGAGTACTGTGCCCAGTTCTGGACACCGTATTTGAAGAAGGATACCAACAAACCAAAGCAAGTTCGGAGGAGGGCAACAAGGATGGTCAGGGGACTGGAAATCAAGCCCTAGGGGGAAAGTCTGAAAGAACTGGGCATGTTTAGCCTTGAGAAAAGAAGATTAAGGGAGAAGTATGGCAGTTGTCAAATACTTGAAAGGTAGTCATACAGAGGACGGGCAGGATCTGTTCTCAATCATCCCAGAGTGCAGGACACATAATCATGGCTTAAAACTACAGGAAGCCAGATTTTGGATGATTATCAGGATAAAACGTCCTAACTGTTAGAGCAGTGTGACAATGGAACCAATTACCTCAGGAGGGTAAAATTGGACAATCACCTGTCAGATATGCTTTGGCTTTGTTGGACAACCACTATCTCATTTAGTTCTTTGACTCAATTATCCTATGATTCTACAATCCCTGGCTTGCAGAACTGCAAGAGAGAGATCACTAGAAACACTATCCCCGTGAAGGCATTGCCCTTTGTAAGTGGAAAACCGAAAGATAGAGAGGGAGAGGGAGAGAGAGAGATGGAAAGCAGAAAGATAGAGAGAGAGGGAGAGGGAGAGAGAGAGATTCAGAAGAGGGATTTGGCACCAGCTTCTTTCACAAAGGCCCTCATATTTAAATTTTCAAGAAAGATAGAGAGAGAGGGAGAGGGAGAGAGAGAGATTCAGAAGAGGGATTTGGCACCAAGCTTCACATTCACAAAGGCCCTCATATTTAAATTTTCACATTACCTCCAAATGAAATTACATGCACAGTCTCAGAGGTACCTGGACAAGACTGAAAGAAAAGGATGTTTAAGATACACCACATTTTTTTCTGACCCTCTTTTGCATTTCTTCATTTTTCAACATACTGGGAGCTTCCAAGAAATAATTATAATAATAAAAAAGGAAGTGACCCACGCTTTTTTCAACCCCTGAGAGATTCTAATGGCTCTGTCTAGAGTATACATGCAAATAATTCTGCCTCTCATGAGTACACACAGGCACACATGCATGCACACAGAGACAAAGAGAGAGAGAGAGATAAATAAGTCATGTGGTCTGAAAAATATTAATTCTCCCAATGAGGCTAATTTGAGAGACCTTTTCCTGAGCATTCGAAGTGGAGAGAAAGACAGAAGCAAGGAGAGAAACGACTTGACTTCCTGCCAAGGAGAAAGTACTTAAGCTTAAGGCTTTTGATGTCCTCTTAACATGATCTGAAGCATTTCCTGACAGAGGTTCTCTGTCAACCAGTAATTTATATTCAAGTTCCAAAAAAAATGTAAAGGATGATTTATACCCCTGGATAAATTCCAGGAAAGCCTATCAACTCAATCCGTTGGGGCCCCTCTTCTCGACGGACGCTCGATGGCAAGGTGCTGAGCACTGCTTCTGAGTATCAATTGAAGTAAGTGCTTGCCTCTTTTTCCCCACAGGAGAAGGAATGTATTTTCAGCCATCTATCAAGGAAGATGCTTTGATCGAGTGTGTATTCAGCTTTAGCCTCCTGATGCAGTGGTTAATCTGCAGTACTGCAGTCAAGAGGCTATCTATGCTCTTGACCTGATTTTGATCCCAGTGGATTTAGGTAACTGACTCAAGGTTGACTTGGCCTTTCATCCTTCCAAGGTCGGTAATTTGAGAACTCAGCTTGCTGCTGGGGAATAATGTGTAGCCTGCATAATTATGTCTGATCTGGCTACAGAGACAAATGCCCCTCGCTACATCCCATTTGGATTAGTGAAACATGCTTTAAATAGGGCTGTTCTTAGAAAGTGTTTGGAAACTTCAGTGGGTTCAAAAGGCCTCAGCCAGACAACTGGAGGTGGCTTCACGGAATCACATAACTGCCCTGTCAGAACAAGGTTTCCTTCCTCAACTTGTTAATAATTGTGTGCCTTCAAGTTAATTCTGTTGACCATTTCCAGGGCTTTCCAGGTAGAAAATACTCAAAAGTGGTTCACTGTTTCCAGGGCTTTCCAGGTAAAAAAATACTCAAAAGTGGTTTACCGTTCCCTTCTTCTAGGTGAGTCCTGGGACTGTGCAGCTTGCCCAAGGCCCCACAGGTTGCCGTTTCTCCCTGAAGGCACAGCGGGGAATTGAACTGCCAACCTCTGGCTCCACAGACAGAGACCTGACTCACTGTCTAACCAGCTCCTCATCATGTTATCTTTTTTTCCAAAAAAAGAAAACTTTTTTCAACTGAGAGAAGCTTTGCTCTCCATTTCTAATCTAGAAGAAGAAGAAGAAGAAGAAGAAGAAGAAGAAGAAGAAGAAGAGTTTTGCCCAGAGAGAGACATTTTGTCAGAAGGAGTGTGCACACTGCTTTTTCTGCTTTCATCCTCTGTGTTGAGTTTCAGTCTTCACGTCAGCTGGGATGGCAGTGGGGAGCAGGATTTTCTTATCCACATGGTTATCTACAATCCCAGTTTAGCCAGGTTTGGGTGGCTCAGTTTTGAATAGGCAATTTAAGCTACTTAACTTTATGAAAGATCCGGTAGAGATGGAAACTGTCAGAACACGTTTGCCGATATCAAAACAGCTGGCTGCATTAATAGACAGCTAAGATAGGACTGGAACCTCAACGTTTACTGCTGCACCACAGCTGATGCATAAAGACTGCATTGAAAGAAATCCTGAATTCTCAAAAGCTTTCACGGCTGGGATCTGATGGTTGTTGTGGGTTTTTCGGGCTTTTTGGCCGTGTTCTGGAGTAGGAACTCTGTCCATGTTCTGTTGCTGTTTGTTGGATAGTTGAGTATTTATAGCTGTGGGAGCAGCTATTGTCCTTTTAAAGGAGATAGGGTGATGATGGTGATCAGCGTGTTTTTGTTGTGGAAGGGTGGTATGGTTTTTGTGTCTCTGCAGAGTAGTAGAAATGTTAAGGGACATAGTTCCTACTCCAGCCCTCTGAAAATGTCAGCCACAGAGACTGGCAAAACGCCATGAAGAACAACCTTCAGAACACAGCCAAATAACCCAAAAAACCCACAACAACCATCAAATTCTGAATTGCTAACCGAATCAGGCTGACTGAGGCCAGTTTTTGTGGAGTCTAGATCAAAATAGCCAGCTTCAGTTCTGGAGTAGAATGAAGCAAATTTACAAATTGTCTGGTGTCCAGCATACAAATCAAATGTGATGGGACATAAATTATTTTTGCTCTTTCCTTCTTTTCTTCCTTGAAGAGAGCAAAATTTAAAAGTGCCAAGTACAGAAGCCCCTGCAAGTGAAATATGGTATGTTTACTCTTCTTTTTAAAGCCTTTCATATTTTCACATTTCAGGTACATCTGTGCCAAAATAAAAAAAACTACAGCCATTTTAGTTTTCCATTGTGAGTCAATGAAGAGCCTAAAAAATGATTTGGGCCCAGAGCACTGATGAAAAAAAAATTTAAACAAATATTTTAAATCAATCAAGCAATAAATAAAATGAAATTGGATTGTACAAAGGCAACTCCAGACTAAATCAGTACACATCCCATAAGCCCTGAACTCGGCTCCAAATCAGACTGAGGGACCATGTGAAGCTATACCAATGTGCATTATGTCATGGGTGTATGCCATTGTGTATTATTTAAGTTATAAAACACCAGCCCATTCAATTATAAATTGCCCAAAGGGCATCAAAGCTCGTTGTGTTGATGAGGGATTCAAGCACTCTTTCACAGACCTATTTCCTTACACTCCCGACAAAGAAGAAGATGGGAGCAACGATATTCTTGCGCATAACTGAGCAAAATCACACCAAATAACAGGTCAACACAAAGAATGCACCTTGCATGACATGATCAAATGTTGCTGTTCTGTTGTAAGAGGGCAATTTGCTTCTTTTAACATAATCAGTCAGTTGTTCTGGGCTAGCTCTGTGTGTTCTTAAAGAGTCTTAATTTTATGCAGAGACCATTGAAGAAAAATAGTCGTTGTTGCTCCTCCCTTGCTTTGCACGGATCTCACAGGGCTTGGAAATCCTCACTCCATCTCCTCATCTATCTATTATGTGGTTATTTGATTTTTATCATGCCTTTGAAGGAATAGCTTTCATGTGTTGTTCCCATTTCTTCCCACTGCCCCTGGGAACATCCATTTCACTGTTGAGACCGACACAATTTCATCCCAGGAATATACAGTACCTCCAACTCAAATGTTACATCCATGCAGGAGTGGGCTGAGTCCATAGATGCAGTCTGTTTTTTTTAAGCAGATTACAAAGATATACCCTCTGAGCCCGTAGGTGCAGTCTGGTTTTTTAAGCAGATTACAAAGATATACCCTGACAGCCATGATGAAAACTTTGAGTCATTAACAATATAATACATTCTATGTTCTTTCAATTAATAAATTTTTACCGTACCTTCCTGGTGAGTCTCCATTCTCATCAAAGGAGATCATGTCCCCAGAAACTCCAGTGAAGTTGGACTTCATTAGAGAATCCAGGAGTTTCCGCCCATCTATTGGTTTCATAGCATCACAAAGACCTGCGTAGCCCGGGCACAGCGACATCTGCATGTTATGGAGGCCATATGCCATGGAGTATATTGCATTAATCACAAAGCCCATTTTGGAATCTTGCACGTGTTGCGTTCTCAAGGTTAAGTTACCTGTTGGGACACAATGAAGGTGGATCTTGTGAGCATCCTTGAGTCCACAGAGTAGACTTTTAAGTTCATATTTATTTATTTCTCGGATTTCTAACCTGCTTTTCTTCCTGTAGAGCAGTGGTTTTCTACCTTGGGTTCCCAGATGTTCTTGGACTAAAATTCCCCAAAGTTTTCACCCTGAGCTGTGTTGATCAGGATTTCTGGAAGTTGTAGTTCAACATCTGGGGACCTAAGGATTGGAAGTTCTGCCCTACGGTAACAAAGAGCATATGAGAGCTACCATTAAACCACATTTGGAAGACTTCATTTTGCTTATCCCTGCTCCAAAAATAACAATGGTGTTCTCTAGAGCAGTGGTCCCCAACCTTGGGCCTCCAGATGTTCTTGAACTACAACTCCCAGAAGCCTTCACCACCACCTCTGCTGGCCAAGATTTCTGGGAGTTGAAGTCCAAGAACATCCGGAGGCCCAAGGTTGAGAACCACTGTTAGTGTTCTCTAGAGCAAAGGATTTTGCAATGACAAAGCAGCGTTCATCCCTATTTGGCCTATTACGTCTTTATTCCAAAAGCTATGATGGACAAGATTTCAGGGAGTTGCAATCCAGGAACATCTGGAGGTCCATGGTTGGGAACCACTGCCCTAGAGAGAGCCTTTATTACACTTCCTGTTCCGCCCCATCTTTGCTAGAACTTTGGAGTAAATTAAAATATATTTTAGCAATGCTGTAGGTACTCGCTGACTCTAGGAGACCAACATTTCCTCTTCCATCAGGTCAGGAGCAACAAAATGACATTCTTTTCATAGAAGTCATCCCACGGGCTTCTCAGATAAGTGGCTGCAAACCAAGCTGTTGGCATCTCAACAAAGAAGCTCGTTAAAAAGAACAGTCAGGAGAAAATGTTCCCTGGCATATTAGCCTGTGAAGAACCATGAAATTTCCCTGCAACCCAAGATATTGCCATGACAACGAAATATTGTGTGGTGGCCCAAAGTGGCAGGCCAAAGCCAAAACACGTGTTTTGTGAGTGTGTGTTTTGGTGTGGTTTTTTGGTGTGGTTTTTTTTTCAGGGGGGATGTCCAACTGTGTTGCAGTTTGAAAGGTGTTTGAGCACAAACAGCTTCTGTTGAAATCAGCGGGAGCTCTTGAGTTCAGAAGGACCTTTCGGGGACAATGGCCATTTACAAGTCATTCCAAATGGAACGCACCCACACCTTCCACTGGAAGTTAATGAATAGTGTTCAGCTGGGAAGGAAACCGTTGGGCTTTGTTTTGCCAAAGATGCTATTTATGCCCCACAATCATCCTGGGGAAAAAAAGTATAAGCACTTTATATAACCCTGCGTCAGCCTATGCAGCTTTTCTATATGCTCTATCCATATACAGAGTAGGGGCAGGATCTGTTCTCAATAATCTCTGAGTGCAACAGTGGGCTTAAGTTATAGGAAGGTAGATTTCGGCTGAATAACAGGACAAATATCTTAACTGTTAGAGCAGTACAACAATGGATCTAATTACCTTGACAGGTGGCGAGAGATCCAACATTGGAGTCATTCAAGAGAATGGCAGACACCCATTGATTTGTATTCCTGCACTGAGCAGGGTGTTGGACTCAATGGCCTTATAGGCCCCTTCCTACTTCATTATTCTATGATACTGCATTTACCATGAAGGCACCTTTCCACAGAAAGAACCTGTTCCTACTTTTGCCTTTTGGGGGAGACTTCGGAATCATTTTTGACCATGAATGTCCTGTTGTTCAAGATCCATCATCAATGGATGGAAGTCATGCACCCTGAATGCATGACTTCCATCTGAAGCTAAGCATAGTCAGGCTGGTTATTGGGAAGGGGAAATACCAAGGAATAAGAAGGATTTCCAGGAAGAACTAGAAAAGAGTCCTGCCTGCCTGAAACCCATGACTGTCAGTCACAGCTGACATTACTGGACTAAGATGGACCAAATTATCTGGTTCATTGCAAGATAATTTCCTTTGTTCCTGTCTTCAAGATTCATCTTCCTCAACAGGTTCTCTAGAGTCGTGGTTTGTATTGGAGGTGCTGCAGAGCACAGCTGTCTGGGGAATTCTGGGACTTGGAGTCCGAAAATACAACTCTGCATACCTCTAGTTCGCATCTTACATTTTTTCAGTCACTCTCTCAAAGGTCTTTCTAACCATGATAGGAAAAAAAACAACCCTGTGCTTTCCAAGGTGGGCATTTTTGTTTCAGGGCTTCCTCTGATGGTAGCACAGGGAAGAGACACACACAGTTGGCAACCCTTATGGCACAACAACAACATTCAAAAGTGTGAAGGCAGAAGAGAGGGTTCAGATAAACGATGGGCACCATTGGAAGTATGTTTGGCCAAGAGACAGCAGCCATGGCTGTGCATCAACACCAGTATCTCAGACTATCATAGTTTTTAAGGCACTGTGTGTCAAAGTGGAGAATGGCACCCACCACAAAAACCAGCAGAGAATATTCAAGGGAAATTCTGCAATTCCTTCTTTTTCCTATACAAGTAAAATCCCTCATCTTTTTTCCCCGCAGAAAAACTTTGGTAATTTAGATATAACTTATTTCAGCGGGTTGCCATGCCTGGCTGCTGAGCCAAGAGCTGGAAATACTTCAGTGCCTCCCATTGAGAGTACCAGCTGAAATTACGTGGAGTGTGTGTGGCTGATGGGGTGAAGTGCCCCTCCACCTAAAGCAGCCTTGGGCAAATTACACAATTCCAGAGTGTGAAAAGAAGCGACTGGCAAACCATTTCTGAGCACTTTATACTTAGGAAGGGTCACCATAAATTGAAATTAACGGGATGAAACCTCCTTCTCCTAGCTCAGCTGCAGTATGAGGTCCAGAGCACAACCTCAATGATCTACCACCTTAGGTAAAAGGTAACGGTTTCCCTTGGTATTTAGTCCAGTCGTGCTCATCCCCGTTTCCAAGCCGTAGAGCCAGCATTTGTCCAAAGACAGTTTGTATGGACACGTGGCCAGTGCAACTAGACACGGAACACTTTTACCTTCCCACTGAGGTGGTACCTATTTATCTACTTGCCATTTTTTACATGCTTTCAAACTGCTAGGTTGGCAGGAGCTGGGACAAATGATGGGAGCTCACTCCATCGCATGGATTTGATCTTACGACTGCTGGTCTTCTGACCCTGCAGCACAGAGGCTTCTGCAGTTTAACCCACAGTGCCACCACATACCTCTACCACCTTACTTCCTCCTCATCTTGCTGTACGTGTGGACACAGCTTTATGTTCTGATTGAAGCCCAGTCTCACTCAGTCCATCTTGCAGCAACTTGCTATTTCACCCTATCTAACTCTTTGAGGAGTATCCCACAGCCTAAATGTGGAACAACCCACTCCAAGAGGCTCCCTGTCATATGCACATTATTGCACGGACAGTGAGAGTGGGCACACAATAGACAGCCTGAGGCAGAGGGATTGACACTTATGTAGTTGCCCTGCTCTTCCTCAATTAGGCCATAGGATACCAGCATTCATTCCTTCTTCTTACAATCTCTCTCTCATAGCTTTTTTTCTTGCTTTCTATCCTCAAAAGGTATTGTTCTTCTTACAATCTCTCTCTCTCTCTCTCATAGCTTCTTTTCTTGCTTTCTATCCTCAAAAGGTATTCACAAAATGCAGGGCAGCATATTCCATTTTATGTTCTCAAAGCAGACGTTTAATACCGTCACATTTTGGGAACCATTAACGGAACATTTCTCCGAAATAACAGTGGTAGAACTGCTGCTTTGTCACATTAGCATTTTCTTTTTGAAGGGGAGAACGGGCCCGTCGGCGTTAGCAACAAGCAGTGGCATAAATGTGACAACCAACCGCCGGAAGCATTTATGGAAGCAATCCAATCAAACAGGTTTTTTTTTTAAAAAAGGAAAGTTGTAGGGAGTGGAGAGTGATGATATAAATCCTCCAGGCTATTAAAAGCCTGAAAAGGGTTGCCATTAGAGATGGGTGTGAACCATTTGGTTTGGCGGTTCATGCAAATTTTTTTTGGCTAAACAGTGTTTCCAGCCCCGCCTCCTCCAGTGGGCACCCACTCAGAGGGAGCTCCCAGCCTTCCCTGCTCCGCCTACTCCAGAAGCTGCCTCTGAGTGGATGCCTGCCAGAGGGGGTGGGGCTGGGAAACACTAAATACTCGTTCAGCGGAAAAATAAACTGCCACTGATGGTTGTTGTGGGTTTTTCAGGCTCTTTGGCCGTATTCTGAAGGTTGTTCTTCCTGACATTTTGCCAGTCTCTGTGGCCGGCATCTTCAGAGGACTGGAGTAGGAACTCTGTCCATGCTCTGTTGCTGTTGGTTGAATAGTTGAGTATTTATAGCTGTGGGAACAGTTTTTGTCCTTTTTTCAGGCGACAGGGTGATCAACGTGTTTTTGTTGTGATAAGAGGGGAGAGATTATCTGTTACTGTGATTGATGGGTGTTGTTAGCTGATCTTTTTTGTGCAATGATCCCTGGCTCCCTGGCCCTTGTGGCTGGGTAGAGTTCATTGATCTTTTACAGGCTGTATTTTTCAATATTGGGAGCCAGGCTGTGTTTAGTTTTGGCACTGAGTTTCACAGAATGCTTCAAGGCTGTACATGGACTGTAGGGATATAAATTCCCAGTGGTCTTGTCCTTGCACAGGAAGATGTGTAAGTGCAATATTCTCCTCCTCAAGATTGAAGATAATGAGAAATTGTTTGGTATTTTCAACAGATTTATCACCTTTGCAAGAATGACATTTTGCAAAACTTTCCCCCCCTTTTTGTGCATTCAATTTCTTCTTCTTTTTTCTTGCCAAATTTGTGCAATTCAAGCAATTGCACAAATTTCCCAACAACAACTTAGAATTGCAGAGCTGAACGGGACCCTAGGGATCATTGAGTTTAGCCCTTGTCAAGGAGGCACCAAGGAGGATTGAACTTTCTACCTCTGAGTCTGTAGTCAGACATCTAAATCATTGAGCTAGCTATCTAACAGTT